TTTCGCCAGATACACAAAGTTCTAGGCATGGATCCATTACCCCAAATGAGCCAACGTTTTAATATCCACAACAACAGGAAACGAAGAAGGGATAGCGATGGAGTTGATGGATTTGAAGCTGAGGGGAAAAAAGACAAAAAAGATTATGATAACTTTTAAAAAGTTTCTGTAAATCTTCAGTGTTAAAAACAACAGATGCCCGTTTGTTGGCTGTTTTTCATTCATAATAATGTCTACTTTGAAAAATTTATCAAGAATTTCATGGAAGAACCAAGTTTTTCTATGACATTAAAAAGTTAATGTACAGTGTTAGGTATTATATGAATGGAAAGACACCAAAAAAAAAAAAGATTGTGCTCTAACTAGGGAGAAAACAGTGTGGTTCAGATTTTTTTCCCCATTATTTTTGTTTTATTTTCTGGTTACTCTAGCTCCCTCCACCCCTCCATTTTTGTGTCTTTTATTAACTAGTGCATTGTCTTATTAAATCTTTACTGTATTTAATGCAGGATTTGTTCTTCAGTTGCTCTGTGTATTTTGATATTTTTATTTAGAGGTTTTGTTTGCTTTTGACACTAGTTGTAAGTTACTTTGTGTTACCCCTTCTTAATATTTTACAGCAGTACGTTTTTTTGTAACGTGAGACTGCAGAATCTTTTCTTTTGTTCTATATGTGAAGGATTACAACACAAAAAGTTATTCTGCCATTTGAGTGCTCAGAACTGAATGTTTCTGCGGATCTTGTGGCATTTGTCTCTCTAGTGTGATATATAAAGGTGTAATTAAGACAGATTTCTGTTAATCTAATCAAGTTTGCTGTTAGTTGTGCATTAGCAGTATAAAAGCTAATATATACTATATGGTCTTGCAACAGTTTTAAAGCCTCTGCATAACTGATAATAAAAATGCATGACAATTTTTGTTTTTAATAGACTTTTAAAATTATAATTTTAGGTTTAACACGTAGATCTTTGTACAGTTGACTTTTTGACATAGCAAGGCCAAAAATAACTTTCTGAATATTTTTTCTTCTGTATAAATGGAAAGGGCATTTTTCACCTATAAGTGGGCTAACCAATATTTTCAAAAGAACTTTATCATTGTGCAACTAACAACAGTAACTAGCCCTTAATTACAGTGACAGCTCCTTATTGGTGTGTGTGATTACTGTAGCAACTATTACAGTATAACACAGTTGAATGATCTCCCCCATACACCCCATCACCCAGATAATTTACAGTTCTATTAACAGTGAGGTTGGTAAAGTATTACTGATAAAAAAAATTATCTAAGAAAAAAACAGAAAATTATTTGGTGTGGCCATCTTACATGCTTATGTCTCCTACACAAAGCTAAATATTCTAGCAGTGGTGTAATGAAAAGTTACATCTTACTGTTGATGTATGTATGCTCTGGTACGCAGATGTCATTTTGTTGTCACAGCACTACAGTGAAATACACAAATAAAAACAAATTCATGTAATGACTTAAATGTATGTATGGTATGTTACAGTTGACATCATAAACTACTTCTGCTTTGAAATGACTTTAAGGCTTCAGCAAAATCATATTCAAATTTATTGGGTACTATATTTTGTTATTCCTAACAAATGTTTATGGCATGAGCACATAATTTCTAGAAAATTTTATAATTCAGTACCATATTGGTTAAATTTCTTTCCAGGGTCAGAGTCTTCCTCCAGAATCTTAGAGGGCCAGGAAATTATAGGAGACCACTGGCAAAATAGAACAGGAGACTCAGGCTTTTCTCAGATACCAGTTAAGTATCCCTAAACTCAAAATCCAAAATGCCTCAAAATCCAGAACTTTCTGAGCACCAATATGACACTCAAAGGAAATGCTCATTGGAGCTTTTCGGATTAGGGATGCTCAGCTGATATAATGCAAATATTCTAAAATACTTTTGGTCCCAAGCATTTTTGTTCAACCTCTGCTATCTGTATAACTTGGGCAAGCATTTTTTCTTTCT